GAAGCATTGTGACATGTCCTTCGTGAGGTAAAGCTAGGCAGTGCAAGGCCTCTGCTCACCCATTATTTTTCCTATATAGCATCTGCAAGGTCTATGACTGTTTTATATTTGAATGAAGCAGAGACAAGTGGCAGAACGTACCGGAGTCTTGCGGAAATATGCTCTGCCGCATGAGGTGACAGTTCTGCAGCTCTTTGGATTGTTGCAGTTGCATCCTGCGACGGTCACATCGAAGTTATGGATCCGAGCACTTGATCGACAAGAATGGCCAGCTGCAGCTTACCTTGACGGGGTTCTGCGACAGAAGGGAGTGCAGGCGGGACCACAGCTTGGCATGTCTATGTGTGTAGAATCGTGTTAGCAGTCATGGGGCTGGCAAGAAATGGGCCTTCTCCAAAAGGTCTGGTTTAGCTCGGGCTGGCGTGAATTATGAATTCAATGGCAGCAGAGCTTTGCCAGGAGTGGTATGGGCGGTACGGCGCCTTGAATCGGGAGCAATTCCGATTGACGTATCGAGTTCCTCGGTCAACGTCCAAGGCATTCGGTGATGTGCCCGAATTAGGATAAATGGCATGGTGCCAATGAAGGAATTATCTAATTATGGAGAGCACGGCGTGTTTGAGGTGAGTAGTTCCCATGGCGTGGCGGAAGCAAAGTTTACCCAAAAAGAGGGCCCACCAGAAACGGTTATGTTGGGAGTGCAAAAGCTATGTGAAAGGCTTGCAATTTAGAGAGACTTCTTTCTTGCATGTTGAGACCTTGGCAATCGGGTGAGGTTTTGAAGGCGGTGCTGGGAATTAATGCTAGTGCTAGCTCTATAAGCGCTTCTCCGAGGTTCCGCCTGGCTTCACCAACGAGATCACGACAGAGATGCTGAAATTTTTGCCTCTCCACCCTTACGCTCGCGCAGGTCGGTATCTGGAAAACTTGGAGACGTGGCAAAACAGTGCATGCAGGTGGCTATGCTTTTTTTATGCTGATGAACAGGTTGGTTCTTGGGGCACTGCGTGCAAGGACATGTGCGGATGATGGATGTGTGCTGCTTTTGATCGGGTTGTTGATCATGCCATGGTGTCGGACCCATCAAATGTTGTTTGTCGTTATGCTTGCGTAGACGTGGCCACGCCTAAGGAGCACCCGGCTTTTAAAGAGCCACTCGGAGAGGAGGGGGCAAATTTTGTGTTGTGTGAGTTAGAACGGGAAGGTGGAAGTACCTGCAATTGAGGGTGAAGAGAGGAGGTAGCAGAGAACGCAACGGTAAGGGTAGCAAGCTGACCATCTTCTGGGGGCCGAGCACGGCAAATGCTGCGAGGGCAAGACAACGATCTAAGGTTTGAGAGGCTTTTCGCACCTGGCTCGGGCCAGACGGTGAGCTTGGACGCTGACGAGGTTGAGCGAACTTGCGCAGAGCTGCCCAATGTGGGACCTTTTGTGCGCCTAGCCTGCCAGGGGTTAAGGAATCCAAGGCATTTGTACTAGGTAGTGGGGCATGGTAGTACTTATGCAGGGTCATTGCATCAAGCCGCTCGTCGTGTCGCAAAGCGAGGAAAGATAAATGCCGTCAAAAGGAGTGTGGGGAACTACGGGGCTCGAGAGCGAGTAACAGACTAAGGCGAAGTGGCATTTTAGAAAGTTTGGAGGGCGCGCAGCTGCTGACCGGGTACGACGACATGTGCCCAGCGGACCCAGGGTTTGGGACGAACACAGAAGAGTTGTTGGCCTTGCTCAAAGCTGCTTGGCGCACAGGGGCTTGTTCTTTGAGGTGTTGTCGAAAATGGTCGCAAGACGGCAGTGATGGATGGGCTAGCAACGGTTTATGTTAGTCATGGTATATACGTCTTCGCTTAGCAACAGAGCGGCCCATTTGGTTTAGACAGTTTTGCGTCATGCAATTTTGTCGAGGGCGCTCAAGTTCACGGGGCTACGAAAGGCGCGCCCAGATCTGGTTCTTGCGTGGCCCAGGCTGACGGTGGTGGCACTGTTGCCAAGCTGTTGAAGTTGACTGCAGATCTTCGGGATCTTTGGCCGGACGGAGTTTCTGTGCGGGGCCGGCAACTGGAGCCCCTGGGTGGAAGAAAACCGGCCCCGGCGAAGCGGACCTGTTGCAGAGAGGTTTGGACACATAGTAGTCTTGTCCTGGACAGTGTGATAGAGACAGTTATGACATTGAGGGCAAGAGTGAGGTAGCATCGTTTGAGGGCATTCCGTTAACGGCCGGCTGAGGTTGCCCAAATTTGGTGCTCGGAGCTGCCAACGATCATGCTGCAAAGCTTTGCAGATACTGAAGGCTGCAACCTGGCCCATGATGGAATTGAAGCATGAAGGCGAAGCACTCTGTGGGTTAAGAAATTTAGAGGGCATGGTCAGACTGCAGGCCAGGAAAGCTGCCACATGGCGAGGCGGCTCCACTGCGGCGAGTTGGAGAGCACGGGTGCAGCTGAGGCCGACACCGGCATTCTGAGGAATTTGCTCAATCCGCTCTGGTTGATGTCGAATCCTCGGTGCTCCCCACAACTCCCCTCTTGCTCCGCTTCGGGAAGTCGTGGCCAAGAAATCACATAATCCACGTCTCTATCTATCTATCTATCCATCTACCTATCTATCTCTCTCTATCTATCCATCTCTATCTATCTATCTATCTATCCATCTATCTATCTACCTATCTATCTATCTATCTATATCTTCCAGGATGAGAGATTGTTGTCTCAATCCATACATCCCCGGCCGGGTGTGTATATATATATATATCCTAACTTCAGCCCCCGCAAGCTAAAAATATCTCGGACGTTCCGGATGTTCCAGATGTTAGTCTGGACATCTCAATCAGGTGACCTCGAACTCCGAGCGTGTCCCGGAGTTCCACAGCTCCTGAAGCTCTGTGGCATCGACGTCTGCCACGCCCACCCCTTCGGCTACCGCGGCTTGATCGGCGACCGGGGTTCATTCAAGTTCCATTGAAGGGGTGCAAGTTTTGCCATGCAACCGTGACTGGTACCTGTATCCATGAGAGGTGAAGATGGAAAACCAGGCACTTCTTGACTTGTAGTGATTAGCTCAGCTTGGCTTTAGTTCGATGGGGACTTGGTGGGGAAAGGTCTAATCTTAGATCTTGAACTTTCGGACACAGATGACCCCCCCGTTCTTGCGAGGCGTTCGCGGCGTTCGCCTGTGAGTTTGACCGGAGCTCCGCCTCTTGGAACTTGGAACTCGATTCCTGCAGAAGTTGGGCTTTTCAGCTCCCATTCAGCTCCCGGCTGGACATCGCTCTCCAGCCATCCGTTGGATCCAACGGGTCTGGGTGCGGAGAAAAACTCACCGAAAAAAAGGGGGGTCAGGAGTTGTTTCTGACTGACAGATGCCTGGCCGCTGGTTTTTCCGGAGTTGCCGGGGGTGTCCTACCCTCCGCCTGTGCCAAGGACAACTTTTCAGGGACACAGGGTTGAAGGGAACATTAAGGTTGAAAATGAAAGAAACGTCGTTTTTCTATAGGGATGCAGAGGGAGCGGAGTTGCCGGGGTTTCCTACCCTCCGCCTGCGCCAAGGACAACTTTCCAGGGACACAGGGTTGAAGGGAACATTAAGGCCATTAAGGTTGAAAATGAAAGAAAAGTTCTTTTTCGATAGGGATTGAGAGGGAACGTCTGGGAGGAAAAGTGCGACCAGGGGAGACTCGTTTTGGACCAGAATTAGATGGGCATGGCGGCGCCAGGTGTTCGGGGCCAGGATGCGCGAGAAAAATGGAAGAACATTGTCGGCGCCAGGTGTTCGGAGCGAGGATTGGCGCAAGAAATGAAAGAAGAGTCTTTTTTTTATAGGGATTCAGAGGGAGCGTTTGGGAGGAAAAGTGCGACCAGGGGAGGCTCGTTTTGGACCAGAATTAGATGGGGAAAAAGCCGTGGCGGCGCCAGGTGTTCGGGGCCAGGATGCGCGAGAAAAGTGGAAGACAAACGTTCCGAAAATATAGTTTTTCTTCATGGTTGCTCTGTACGGCCCTATAGTTTAGGTCACTATTGCCCAAAAAACCTCACCCATCCCAGGCTTTGAGGCTTCAGGGGCAGCTGTGAACGGAGTATTGGAGGAAAAGGGACAAGGGATGGGCAACGTCCGAGGCACGGATAGCTCAGTGGCTCTGACTCAGACCAGCGCGTCCGCCCCGCGGCCGCCGACCAAGCGCCCAAGAGCACGCCCACGAGCATGGCGCGGCTGGGGCCGGCTGCATGGCGGAGGCCAGGGTCCAGGAGGGAAATGGGAATCAAAGCTCAGTTGGGCTGTCGGTTCATCCAGCTGGCTCTGAACTTGAAATTGAGTTGAGCATAGTTGAGCCTACTTTCAATTGTTTCGGTGAGAGCACGAAGACAAATTCTAGCATTCTTGACTCGTCCTGACCGTGGTCCGGGCAAAATTGATCCATCACTAGCCGATGCTCAGGCGAGATCGGGCAAGCACAATTCACACACGCGCGAACCTGAAGCCGTTGCCTTTCACTTCGCTGCTTCCCGCTAAGCCTCCTGGCGGAAGGGATATTTCTCACTAGCATTACATACATAAATCCAGCCGCCGTTGAAAACCTCCGACCTACCTTGTAAAAAAACAAACAACCTGCTACAAGCCATGACGGCATACGGCGTAGCCGACGGCATGGCCATGCTCGGAGCTCTAGTTTTCCATTCACGGCCAGGCTCACGCCTGCGCGTTGCTTGCGCCAGTGGAGACTCGAACAGCTCCTGAGCCAGGACTTCTTTGACCAGAGCTGCAGGGTGAAACTCGCACCCAAAGTCACCGGTCAGGTGCGTATTCCCTGCCGGGGCGGACTTTCGAAGCCAAACGCTGCTTCCGCACCGCGTCTGTGTCTGACCCCTAAATGACAGTACTCCCTTGCGCGCTCCCCCTTCTTCGACCGGGGTCGGCGGATAAGTAGAACTTTAAGATTGAGTTCAGCTATCGATATCTAAGTTCTTTGCACGTCCATCGACAACATGTTTGTGTGTGCTTTAGCCCAGGCAGTTACCTTTCTTGGACCTAAGCCTCGCTCATCGGCACACGATCAAGGGCTACAGGACCTTCCTAGCAGTTGTGGAGCATGTCCACGGCAAGGAGGAGGAGCGCCGGAGCGCAGCGGGTCATGTCCCTGTTGGCTTACTCTTCTCCAGTTAGAGACATAGACTTTCAGCCTGTTAGAATGGAGTTTTGTTTTGAAGAAACAGGAACTCGCGCAGCAGGCCCAACAAGCTGCTTGTTCACAAAAGAGTGCACCATACCAACGCTCTCCTCCAGCATTGCTAAGAGAATGTGAAAAGGTTATTGGCCAGCTCTGGTGGTGAGCCATTGAAGTATGATTTGAAACTTGCCGGCTTGCTGTCCAGCAAAGACTAAAATCTACTTCCCTGCAAATTGAAGCGATTTGAAGACAATGTCCCTCTTCAAGCTACTGGTTTGCACGCACATGAGAAGCTGTCGCACTGCAGGAGAGATCTGAGGCGCGGAGGAGGAAGGCACGGAGACACGATGCGAAGGGCGAAGTTGAGGAAGATTTGGAGACCGTGGATGGTGGGATTCGGATATATAAGTGGTAGTAGATAGTAGTAGCATCAAACATATTCCTGCGTGGCACCTGTTTGGAACATCAGCCACTCAAAGCTCAAAATCTGGCCCGTTTCTCAAGGAAGGGGCAGATGGGTTCTAGCATACATTATGAATGAGTGCATCAGCTTTGGGTGATTCAAAACGCTCCCCTACTGATATGTGGTGGGGGTGTCCTTGGGTCCTTGACTTTCTTCCGGTTCCTGAAGGCCTGAAGCTACTGTACCATACCGTACCTTCCTTCGCTCAGATGCATGAGCTGTTTGGAGGCCCATGACAGACATTGAAATAGTGATAGTAGCAGGGACTCGGAAGACAGAAGACACAGCAGGTAGGAAGTTCTTCTAGAATCAATGTTTCCAATGATTGGATCTCACCCAAAACACCATAAACAGTTCATTTGCTGAATCATCCGAAGTCTCCAATACATTTGGCAACAACATGGACGCCACCATGCGGAATTCTTTGCAGAGGAGTATGGGGATAGGCCAATATTCATTTCCATTCCGCTCATTGGGCCTCTAGCCAAGCCCCCTTGGAACCGGGTTCAAGACTGGTGGAGGAGATGACTCGAGAGCTTTGCACTAGGGATGGCCTCAAATCTAGAAGCGCTATCAAGATTCTCAAGGATCCTTTTGTTTTCATCAAGACCCATCAAGACCCCAAAGGCGGAGGAAGAACAGAAGAAAGCCGAAGAGATCGCCCGGATGACGCGGTCGGGACACCCGGAGAGATGCGCGCGCATGCGCGGGTGGGCTTCGATTGGGCTGCTCAATTCCTGAGTTGTGGGCGAAGTCGGTGAGTTCCGACCCATGCGTCTTTTCAGTGCGCGACCCAGGCATTGTTGGGCTGTTGGATTTGCAGATGTCTATTTTTGCGAGGCACTTCTATCTAAACTGGAGCCGTCCCCAGCAAAACTACACTCTACAGCCAATGTTCCATCTTTAGTCCTGCTGCAATGCCTCGTGAGGCTCACACTCCTAGCCACCAGCGCCTTGACCGAGAAGAACGAGGAGGCACGTGCCCTGCATTTGCTCAATGTGCGCGCGATGTGCAAAGTTTCACAAGTGGAGCCCTTGGAATGAAATCCGGTCCTCAAAGTTCTTTTGGTTTGTTCGGGTTGACAGTTCAGGTGGATAGGGGGGTCCAAGGCTCATTTTTCATCTGCGCATGAAATCGGCAGGGTGAGCCGTTGTTTTTTTCCAGTTTGCGGGGGGCAAGGGAGTTTTTTGTTTTGATGTTTTTAGTACTGTTTTTCCGTTTTGCGCAGATTGAGTAAACTTATTTCATCAAGAATCCTGCTAGTTGCCAAACAACTGAATATTTCTGAACACCCTGCCCCAATTCAGGTTCAAGATTTTCACATTGCGGTTGACACCAGGACATTGGGTGTTTCGGTGTGCCAGGACGTCCTGACCAGCAGTGCGATCTCAAAGCATGTGGCAACTTGAGCTGAGTTTGTGGCGACACGGAGCGTGGGACAGGTGTTTGGTGCTTGGAGCTGTCAAGCGACCAATGCTTCAAATTCAAAGGGTTCCTGTAAGTCAATGATTCGTGCGCTGAAATGGTAGGGACCTGGTCGAATTTATGGTTGACAATCCACTGATGTTTGTTAACTGCTTACTGCTTGCCGAGTCTTGCTGCTTTCCAGATCTCCAGCTGGCGCTATGTTGAAGTTGGGTGTCTCCCATCATAGAGCACCCCCAAAATCCGATGAGAGAGAGCTTTGGAGGCCATCGCTCCTAGGTTGGAGGCCATCGCTATTATATAGGTTGGGAGTCCATCCGAGGCCACGGCCGCTAGTGATTGTGTCTTTCCTGGAGTGCCCCAGGTGAAAGATCGCATCATGACCCAGGAGCAGAAACGGCAGCTTGGTTTATGAAGGACCTTTGGTCATGAGACCACGCACGACCTGCTCCAAACTATTGAGTGATGTCGTGGCCCAGAGTTGGTTTGTATATTTGTTTGATGTGTTTGATTGTGGAACTGTTTCTGGTTAAAGAGAACATCATCCTTTGAAACCTTTGTCCACATCAAATCACATGGTCAAGCGTGGTTAAGCAACTCATGGTACCGCAGCTATCTATGCTTTGTCTGGGGCTCAGAACAAAAACCCAGTATATATATACATATATATATGTTCAAAAATTATATATATACACACTTTGTCATTGGGGTTCGCCTGCAGTTGGATCAATGCATTTACAGCATCATGCCCGAGCAAACAATCACTTTGTTGTATGGCAGTTGAGGTGCATGGTATGTGGCTTGAGTTGTCAACATTCCCCCGACCCACAAAGGAAGGCTTCTTACTATAGTGGAAGAGTAAATAGTCAGACTGTGAGACCGTTTGGTCCAGGCATGGATTTTAGCAAGGACTGGTAGAAACAAAAATGGCTGGCAGGAACAACAGCCGCCTAACATAGTGACATAGTGTTTCTGAGGTGATGTTTCTTGGGGGTGGGGGTCAAGAAACAACTGCCTGGTTGCAGGCTTAGTTGCTAGGAGGGGGTAGGGATAGCAACACCTTTTGACAAAAGGTACAAAAGGAAGGGGGTGTGCAGTGTGCAAAAAGCGACCACAAGGCTGCAGTTTTAGTTTCTAGGATACTAGGATTTGGTAGAGAGGTTTCCATACTAGTAGTATGTCCGTGGTCGTCATCGTTGTTGTTGTTGCTGCTGTCGTAGTCGTAGTCGTGGTCGTCGGACTAGGAGTAAGTAGCAGCACCAGGAGTAGTAGCGGCACCAGTAGTAGTAGCAGTAGCAGAAATAGTAGCAGAAATAGCAGCAGAAATAGCAGCAGAAATAGCAGCAGAAATAGCAGCAGAAATAGCAGCAGAAATAGCAGCAGAAATAGCAGCAGAAATAGCAGCAGCAGGAGGAGGAGGAGGAGTAGTAGTAGTAGTGGATCACGACGCAGTGGAACTAGTCGGAGCGGTAGCGTTAGTCGTAGTGGTGTTGTTGGTGGTGATTGTAGTACTACAACTGACTAGCAGCTAGAATTCAACAATTTTTTGAAACAGATAGAATCTGGATGTGTCAATGCAGCTACCTTTCGTGACCTAGCAGCAGAGCATCAGCAGAGCATCAGCAGAGCAGAGCATTTTGGCAGGAAATGCAATAGGAAAAAAACAAGTACTGTGAGCAATGACGAATGATGAACATGTAAGAATTTTTAGTAAGTATGTGTATTTGCTGTTATTTTCATCTCGGCTGACCAATCTCATATATGTCAAAATCTTGTATTCTATCTCAGCTATGCCTCGCCGGGCAAATAACCAAATTCGCACAAACTTTTGTTGTTATATATATTTATATGTATACACTGTATCTAATATGTGTTATATATATATGCTTATTTATATATATATTTTTTCTATTTGCTGGTCATCTACTCTAGCCGACTACGTCGTCACAATGGTGGTAAATAGCAGTAGTAGTAGTAGTAGCAGTTGTAGTAGTAGTAGTCGATGTAGTAGTACAACAACAACCACTACCAATAAAAAGCACTTCCTTCTGAACTATTGTGCATAAAAACGAACTTTCCTTTTCCTGGTTGCTGGCACAAGTGTTGCTGGTGCTGGCATCAAATGTTGTGGACTCAAATTTTGAAAACGGACGTCAAGCATCGCACCCAGGACTGCAGACCTTTTGGCGAAAGCGTTGATGCGGTCAACTGCTGGATAGTTTGGAATTTGCAATTTCATGTCACAGGTGACCACGCGCATTGCACCAGACTGGTCGACCAAACTGGCGCATTGCGTGGTTCCATCCACTTGTAAAGATTTCAGATTCAAATTGGGCAGGAAGTGGGAGCCGGGCGCTTTGTGCCCTAAACACCGTGAAACCTGTTTTTTTTGTTGGGACGGTGAAAACTGAGGGTGTTCAATGTGAAAACTGTTTTGTGGCCACTACCTTCAAACAGTGACGCTGATTGGGTAGCGGCTGTTGGGTGCGTCGCTGGGTTTCTTGCTGTGCACCGAGGAAGCAAGAAGATGAAACCATCAAGGCGGCAGAGATCGAGAGAGCGCCTCGGGCACAACGGAACGAATCCTCGGATCGGCCTGTTCCAAAACCTGGCGAAGCGTTGCTGGTTCGGTGAGGGTTATGATTTTGGGGGCTGGTTGGCATGGTTTGTCAGTTTTGTGCTCGGGCCTTCCGGTCTTCCACATCAACACCTTCTCAAATTGGTGGCTTTTCTAAACCTGTTCCAATGAATTCCTTTTCTGGCCGCAAATCCTTTCAACAAAATCAATGCACAATTCCACTGTTTGTTGCGCAAGTCAAGACAGGTGGTACTACGTAGGTGGCACCATCATTTATGACCAATGTGTGTTTGGCCTGCAGAATTGCAAGACCTGACATCAGACATCAGCGTATGTGCCTCACCACACTCAGGAAAAAGATCCGGAGGAGCCCGGGCAGTTGAACGCTCCCAGCATGGTGAAGCTTCCACAGTACCTGACCTGAGGGCAAAAACACCTTCTTTTTGGGGGGGGGTTGGGGTCCATGCGGTGTGGGACTCCTTCCCCGTTGCACAGGGTGGGGCAGACATAACCGGCAAGGGACCCATGCTTTTGGTTTGAGTCTGGGATGGGGCCGCTAGGGGCAACCTAGACAAGTTCCATTCAATTCGCCCCAGAAAACGTGTTCTGAAGTGGGCAGATGTCAATCACGAAAGCGAGCTTAGAAGCAGCTCAGCGGAAGTTGTTGTTTACGAAATATAGTGAGGCTCAAAATTGAAAGGTTCAGTGAACTAATTGATTCCTTCAATTAAAGGGAGGGGTCAGCCGAGGGGGGGTCCCCCCCCCTCCCCTTTAATTGATTCTTTCAATAACCTCACCCCCTCGCAAAGAAATTTATATTTCAATTGCAGATTGAAACGTCTAAGGGGGCGCGGCCCCCCCTGTAAAGTGAATCTAATCGACTCCTCCCTCGTCCTTGTGAGAAAGCAAACCAAATGCCTAGAAAAGACAATATGAAAGTCAATGTGTTTTTTTAGTGTTCGGTTGACTCAGCCAACAACACTTTGCGCTCGTGGCACAAAAGCGTTGCGTTGCTGCTCTCCGCGTCCCGTTGATCCTTCCACACCCCTCGCTTTCGTCCCCACTGTCCTCCAGTCTCATTTGTGGGAGCAGCCGATGTCCTTCATTGAATCTGTTATTTTCAGGCTCAGTTGCAGCATCGTTACTCACCAAATAGACAGAGCAGGAGGTCAATCGAAGATACAACAACAGAACCGAAGTCACAAGATTAACATCAACTATTAGGTGCTTTTCATGTCGCTGCTGACGCCACGCTTGGACTGGATTTTGGGGTGCTGCACTGCGGGAGGCTATGAAGCTCACAACCAGGCCGAGTATCAGGTGCAGCTGAATTCTGAGCCCGCACCTAGCAGTGCTGCCAAGCACCTATTGACCTCTGGGGATTCCTTCGACATCACCTTCACCCCGCGGCTGTTTGGTGGCTTTAGCCGTACATCAGGCCCCATGACGCCACGGCAGCAGGATTTGCGTGCGCAACTGGAGCTTCCGCAGTTGCAAGCTTATCCAGTGCCACCCAATCTCAGCGCAGACGAGGTCGAAGAAGTTCGGAAAGAGAAGCTCTTGGAGATGTATAGGGAGTTTGCCATCGAACTGCACACGGGCATGTACCTGACACAGCTCACGTCCAATAGAGACTATGCTGATATTCATGTGCAGCTTATGGAGGACTTAACCACTTTAAAACTGGATCAAAGCAATGGTCGAATCATTGAGTTCCCTTTGACCAATGTGTCGAAGGTGTATCGAATCGTCAAGAACGATGACAAATGGTATGCCGCCGGAACACCACTACCCAATGCTTCGCCTCATGCCGAGCAAATCGTGGTCGTTGAGTTTATGCGGCGAAAGCTGGCATTCGTGTTCAAGGAGCTGCAGGTCTCTCAGCGGTTTCTCATTTGCATGGAGTTGCTGATTCGGAGAGCCCAGCAAAGGCAGGCCATGCGGTCGTTGACTCCAACTTTCCCGCCCAATCACGGGCAAAGTCGCCAGTGCCCCACCCCGCGGGTCGTGCACGATGCCATGCAACGGCCGATCCCCAGCCCAAGCCCGGAGAAGCCGTGAAGCCGATGGATGTCTCACGAATGGATGGCGCCGTTTGGTGCGGATGGCTGGCTCAAGAGAGGCCACCACGGAGTGACTTGAGCACATTTGCATGGGCTTTGTGCGGAAAACAAAGCATACATGTGTCGTTTTTTTAATGTGCCACATGTTTCATGTTTCGAGGTTGTTTGGTCCTCTTGATTTATGGCGGGCAAGGTTTGTGTCCATCCTGGACCCTCAACAGTCCACTTGGTCTACCTATATACTCCGTTTTACTGCAATCACTCATGGCACAGCCTATTCTTCTTCACTCCTCTGGTGGTGTTACCACCCCTGGACAGCACCTACTCATCCACCATCTTCCACCCCAGAACTAGCACCTGAACACACCTGTGCACACCCCCAGGACGCCATTAGGGGCTCCTGGCATCGCTACTAGGAGCAAGGATGCTACTAGGGGCTCCTGGCCGTACTACTAGGAGCAAGCGCATTACTAGGAGAATGAACGCCCGGCTCCAGGAGGTGGCCGAGATCCTGAAACCACCCGACTTCCCAGCCATCATCGATCGCCTCAACTCGGAGCCGCGGGGGATGTCCGTTGGGCTCAACTGGTCGGGGAAGAGCAAGTCCTGGAGAACAAGTCCGTTGAGCAGTGAAGTGAAACACGGTTTTTGCGCCTGAAGAATGATTGTTGATGCATTGAACTGACAATCTACCAAGAATCTACCATCGAAGAAACACTGGCAGAAGCGGTGGCCTCTGCAACAGATACAGGCCTTGGGTTGATTGACCGTGGGTGTCGTTCTTCAGTTCTTGGGTGTTTGGTTGCTACAGTTGTGCGTCGAAAAGCTCTCCCAGGATCCTATCAGTGGCTTCAGTGACCGAGAGCTGGAGAGGATTGAGGAGAACTCTGGGAGAAAGGGCTGGGAATTGGATGCTATTGGTTGAGGTCAGAAGACCTCGGACCACCGGTTCTTTTTTGAGGCGAGTCCGCGTGCATGAAATAGTTTGGAAGGAGGGAGAGCATGAGAGCGCATGGGTTTGTCAACCTACAGGGCCAGGGCCTTTTCTACTCGCGCATTGTCCACCCGAGCATGGATCTTTGAGAACCAAATCCAGGAGCAATTCCAGGTATATAAGACCCCGGGGCAGTCGGATGTACATGCAGATCGTTCGGATGGCCCAGAATCATTCGCAGCTGCTACATGTTTTCTAAAAGCGGTCTGTGTGTGTGCGGTGTGTTTCCAGAACTGAAGCGAGAAGTGTTGTGACACTGTGACATTGACGGAACCCAGTGATGGCATGCCATGCCATGGCATGGCGTGTGACGAACTGTGACTCCTGTGACGGCACAGAAAAGCCGTCCTAGACCGTCCTGGCACCCGTCTTTAGCTGTGAAATTCGGTGTCATTCTCAGGCTTATATGAGCTTCTGGCATCATTGGGGTACACCACCATCGAAGAGGAGACACCTGCTGTGCCAGTGTGGTTCAAGACTCTGCCACCAGTGGTGGAGGTGCTATCGCCAGACGGAACCACGATAGACATGTGGCAAATTGAAAATGGAAAGGAAGCTGTGATCCGATTGCGCCATATAATTGGAAGATGCTGATGAATCAATTCTGGCTTATGTATATGTCAAGTTGTGGGATGGATTTTGGCTTGACTTTTTGTGTCTATATGACTATATGCATAATATTGTACCATTGTCTACCTATGTGCATATAGTCTCCCCCAAGCCAAGCATTGGACACCGCAGAGCTTGGAAAAAGCATGTCCTGTTCGCCTGGTACATAGCATGTCATGTTCAAGATTCTTCATGATACTGACCTTATCCCACTTATTTGATTTCATACTCTTTTTTTGAACCTGTCTCTATTCAATCCCACCCACACATTGTTGTTTAAAGCCACAGTGACAGATCCCGACTGCGGAACGTCAGACATGTGGACAGACCGCCTGGATCGAAAGAGGAGATGATTCGGAAGATCATGTCGGAGGTCACCCGTGCCTGAGCTGTCATTGGTCCCCCCGTGGCCCTGTGGCACCCTCTTGGAGAAACTCGAGAGAAAAAGCCTCATTTGCCTATAGATGCCTTGGTAGACAAGCATATTATAAGGCACCCCTTTAAAGCAGGCACTTGCTTCAAAACACACACACACACACATTTGTATACATTATTTGTTTGATAATGTTTGACATATTATTTTTACTATATATTTCTAATTTTGTGTTCTTTTGTGCATGTTTGTCCACTGGTGCCCAGTGATATACTTCACCAAGGGGACACAGTTTGAGGCACGGATGTGAAAAGTTGTAAGACCTCTTCACACTGGTCCTGATCCAGACTTCACAACAAACAAGAAGCTACTAGTAAGTATAGCTCCTACAAAGGTGCTAAAGGGCATCGCTACTAGGAGCAAGAAGCAGGTTCTTCCAACTCCAGACTTCCAAGTGGGCTACTCCGGTCCCCGATCACCGGCCCGTTCGCAGCTTCCCGGCACCCGTTCGCCGCCCAACGGCCAGTCGTCCGTTTGAGGTTATTCCTCCTTGGACCTGTCGGAGCTCATCAGCTTCCTCGCTCGTTATGCGCATTTCGAGCAAGCAACCATCAGGCGCTGACAGCGCGCGCTGTCCGAGCTGGATCTCAATGGGTGGGACTGTGGGACCGACCCTTTTTGCGCAGAATCTGGGGGGGGGTTGAGGGGTGGCACAACTCAAAGTCAGGAGGTCGAGATTTAGCCAAGAAATCTACCATTTTACCGATAGCCTTCCTGCAGCAATGCACCTCTCTCCGTTTCCGGTTACACTACACCACTGCCACTGTGAATCAGGATTAGTCATGTTGCCGGAATCTCGTGTGAATTGTGCGCGTATATGGAAAACCCTTGGTCAGGCCCTGTGACCCGTCCGATTCGCAGCACATCGCAAGTGCCTAAGCGGGATGACATCCTTTGCCCCCCACCCGATCAGAGCGGATCACAGCCGTTTGAGCTCAGACAGAGATGAGCCGTTTGCGCAGTGGAAGCCTACTTGTTGAAAAGCACTTAGTCCATCTCAGTCCCTTGTGTTACCGGCACTCGCGCCTAGATGAGGGATGATAAGGGAGATGTGTGCATACTGTGTGCAAGACTCTACTGACTCAAGCACAGAACCTGTACATAGCTGTATACAGCAAACTAATTGTTCAAGTTGTTCACTTTCGTGAGATGTAGTTTTTAATTATGGAGTTCCAACAAACGCACCCCATCATCGGGCCTAACTTCCTTGTGACCTCACCGACCGAGTGTAGGGTTTTGAGTGGACTCACCGGTCCAAGCACTACTATACTATATATGTATATATGCGCAGGCAGGGCACTAACTATAAGGGAGATGGGCCGGTTGGGCACTGACCATTTGCACTGGTATTGAAGCGCGTTTCACATGCTTTTCACTGGTTTTCGCCCAACAAATAAGGCCTTGTTTCCCTCTTAGTGAACTGCAATGATGATGATGATGACGTGACGATGGCGCTGTGGCTAAAAAAGGAACTGCCGCGCCGCGAAACGCGAGAAGATGTCCTTCCTCACTGAAGCTTCTGACAGCTGGGTGGAAGCTCACCGTGCTCCAGGACTTTCGTTTTCAATCCAGCTCCTTGTCGATTTGGATGAGCAGGCGAATGGGTCAAATCAAACAAGAGTATATAGTCCCCACTGTCCACCGTACATAATTCTGAGCACAGTTTATATATATATACATAAACATATATTAATATGTTATATGTATTATGTATATAACATGTAATTTATTATACTATTTAACTATATATATATGTCATAGGTGAGCAAGCAACCATGGTATACAATATAATATGACACAGATTGTATACAAAGTATAACTTCCAGGATGCTATTGGAGCCAGACGGGGTTGAAAATGGTCAAATTCAGCAAGAACCCCTTGGGCCATGGCACTGGTGAAGATAGGCTTTAGGCCCAAACATTAACATGGAGGAGATGAATGGGTGTTATTGTCACTACTAGCTTCTTGCTACTAGTAGCGATGCACTTGTTACTAGCTACTAGTAGCTTCCTGCTACTAGTAGTGCAGAATGAATGGGTCATATTGAATGAAGCATTAAAGATCGGCTTTTTCAGGTGGGTCTCGTTCATCAAAAAAGGTTCTGAATGATGGACTGTGCAGTTTGCATAAGTATCAGAATGGAAGCGATAGACCATTTCCATTCCTGCCAGCAAGGTGCCGTACTAGTAGTAACAAGAAGCTACTAGTAGCTCCTGGCATTGCTACTAGTAGCAGGGACGCTATTAATAGCGATGGACAATTTCATTCCATTTCACATCATCGAATCGACAAGTTCGGTGATGTTCCAGTCGGGGCCTCGGTCACGCACTCCGACGGAGGAATGCCTGGTGGAATTTCAAGGTGTTCCTTGGTTTTGAGCCGCGTCGCCCAGAGTGGAGATGATTGTCATGATTGGCTGGTGTTTGAATGTCCGACACGTGAACCGTTTCACACATTGTTTGTGGATTGTTTGTATAGTTTTGTATATATATATATTCCGCTTGAGCCATTGGACAGGATGTCGACTATATAAATACAGTAGTTCTACGCTGCTCGCCAGCCCATAAATACGATCTTGGCGATCGTCGAAAGCACGAACGTGCAGTTTGAACAACCCAGCAATGAACGGTTACACCCGGTTAGACATTTAGCTGCTTGCACGGGTTTTTGTTGCTGACCGGGTTAATTGCAGATATGAACCCATCGGATGCAACATATTGTATCATTGATTGTTAGAATGCACCTCATTTACCATGTATTCATTTGACTGTGTGTTTTTTAATGCACACTTGTTTAACAGTAGAAAAGGTTCCTTGGAGGGTCGCTACAATGCAGGAGCTTTCGTCATTCTACCCGTTGAACATTTTAACCTATGTGGCGGCTGGTCAATAACAAGACGCCCCCAGACCATGGTCCATGCTGGAAGCTTTCAAGGATGCATGTATAATATATGCTTATATTATGCTTACAGTACTTAATAGCTCTGAACAGGATATGATCAGCCGCAAGATGTGGAACATAGTATTGGTAATGCAGACATTTATTGTGGCGCCTAAAGCTAGGATGGCTGCCAAATCAGTACCACTTGCATGAAGTTGATGCGTGTAGATCAGATGAGGATGCAGTCTCTTGGGAAGACCTTTAAAAGGTAGTCACGAAAGCTAGCGAAGCTAGCTGGAGTTACTCTTGCGATAGCAAGGTTTCTTTCCATCGGGTGCAAATCCTAACCCCTGATTTTTCAGGTCGAAGACCCCCCCCCCTCACTCTCACTCTCACTCTCACACTCTCACTGTCTCTCTCTCTCTCTCTCATCTCTCTCTCATCTCTCTTTTCGCTCTCTCTCTCTCTCTCTCCTCTCTGTTTCTCGTCTTTCCGTCTCTCTTCTCTCTCTTCTCTCGCAGGAGGATCCGGGCAAAGAGCCACATATAAAGGACTCTTCACCTGGGAGTGTAGCTCCATTGGTCGGTCGGAGCCGCATCACCTCCAACTTGAGATCCTTGAGGTGGAAGACGACGGACAGCAGATCGCACCTAAGACGACCGTTGGTCCGGGTTGAGGTGCACACGAGGTGGCTGAAACTGTCTTCCTCCCACCTTCCCTCCCTCCTCCCTCTTCGCAAGTTCGACTCCGTCCTGTCGTGGCTCTTTGGCATGCGGTTAGCGTTGCGTATCTTGCGGCCGCACTCGCTCACTCTCACTCTCACTCTCACTCTCACTCTCACTGTCTCTCTCTCTCTCTCATCTCTCTCATCTCTCTCATCTCTCTCTCTCATCTCTCTCTCATCTCTCCCTCATCTCTTTCTCATCTCTCTCTCATCTCTCTCTCCTCTCTCTCTCTCTCTCTCCTCTCTGTCTCTCGTCTTTCCGTCTCTCTTCTCTCGCTTCTCTCGCAGGAGGATCCGGGCAAAGAGCCACATATAAAGGACTCTTCACCTGGAATCGTTTGCCCCGCCCAACTTGTGCAAGGCGTCCTGCCTTCTGCTACTCCGTGCGACTGCCTCCAAAAAGAGCGCCGTGTTTTTTCCTACCTCGCTGCCCTGCACTTTCCCATTTTGGAGCGCTAGCTTTCGCCCCCCCCTTGGCCTCAAGTCAAGGGTAACAATGATCCAGACAAAGCAGACGTCCAATTCCGTGAATCACAGCATTCGGCTTTCAAAACGCTGCTCCAACAATCACGTGAGCATTATGCTAAGGAGTTTGACTAGATACTTGCCATATGGACATGTTTTATCGCGTTCAATTAAGAGTATGTGCAGAAGCTCAGATCACCTGAATTGTGTTTTGAGTACCCCAACGTACGTCCTCCAGCCAGGTATGACGTCCTGTGACACACTTACCTCAAGCAACGGCACTCCCAGAGTGTCATCATTCCTCTAGATCTTCATGATCCACCTGGTGTGGTCTATGCAGATTTGCATATGGCATAGATTTTTAGGTAAGGTGATCAACCTGAAAAAGATGACTAGACTATACACAGTGAATATAGCTGGCCAAGTAGCTGGCCAATTCTTTTGATTTGAAATGACGTTAGCCACACTTGAGCGTTGAAATTCGAACACCACTGCCTATTGTTTAAAGTCTCCGTAAATTCAACTTTGCCACCGGCGCAGATATGTATTGTTTGGTTCTAGGGAAGAACAGTCAGAGTGGTTGCGCAAAACTTACCAAGTCAATTGATATACACGCACAAACTGCTGTACTCTACTTCCTCTGAATTTTAGCAAAAATCTCCAAGTTGCGATTGAATTTGCTAGCAGACCTATATTGCCAGCAGGAGGTTCTCAATGTTTGCATCCGACATCCCAAACCTTTATCAATCCGCCTTGTCATTCAGATATGCCATTCTATATGTGGCTCATGCGAAGCCGCATTTACATGTAGCGGCCTTGCTGGAAATTCCCTGTAAGCAGCGGGCTGAGTTGCAAGAGAGTACGATGCTATCTGGGAGCGACATGCCCGAATAATACATATTGTATCATATTGTAATTAGAATTCATTGCAAGGATGTGCGATATACCTTTTGTACACATAAGTTTGCATCAATGAATGAATCAATGTCAGTACGCACATGGATACAATATACAGCACATTTCATGGTACAGAATCTTCTACCATACCCGCTCTTTGGGCAAGGGCTTTGTAGGCAGCGGCTTCGGTACATCGAGACCCTCTACTACCGTGGTGGATCCCAGGTAATTGCATGGTGAACAGTCAGTTCGCAAAGAAGTGCTGGCGCTGGTGGCCCAGTGCCCTTGATCTGAGGTGGTTGAGGGAAACTACTGATCTGGTCATCCTGAACAGCCCTTGGCTGCGCCGTGAAACTGGCAGAGCTTTGCGCGCGATGTGGGTTATTCTTCACGGGTCCTGGTGGTGCTTTCATCGAAAGAAAGCCTTGGCCTACCCACTTATGACATTTCTTTGGCTTCTTTTGGTAACTCTTGGCATGCTGCGCTTGGTCTACTCCAGCAGTGAAAGTCTTCTTGGAACCACTGCCCTTTGCTTGGGCCTCCAGATCAGTTCGAGCATGCAATCAGCATGGTTTCGAGAGTACTTGG